AATATTTGGAGCGGACTATTCCAAAGAGAGAAGAACAATTGCTATAAAGGTTAAGGGCCACTGAGTGGAAATCAGCTTGGCTTGATGTGATCAAGAAAGAGTACAAGAATTGCAGTGATGAGAAATGCGTGGGCAAAGAAGAGAATGTAGGTGGAGTAAGAGGTGAGGTAGGAGAGGTGAGAAAAGAGTAATAATGAATTTGGAGTCTCATGAGCCTCCAAAGGAATCAGATTTTACCTGAGATTGAGAGAAAGCCACCAAAAGGCTATGAGAAGAGACACAACACCGTCTGGACGTCTTTTTTAAAAGATAGCTCTGGCTGCATGTAATAGTAAACTACAGAGGGATAAGAGACATAGCAGGCAAGTCCTGTTGTGTCATTTAACCCACACATCAACATATGAGGTATACACCATAAGCCTTGGAAACATAATGTATCAAAAGGCACACAGATGTTTTGACTCTAAGCCCATGTGTACCTTCCTCTCCTCAGGAAAGCTTTCAGGAACCTCCCTGACCAGGTCAGATAATCCTATTACATGTTTTCAATGCAGCGTTTTCCTCTCCTTCACTAGAACCTATCACAGTTTAATTTTATATGGTTGAGTGATTATGTATTTTATGTCTAAGAGCAATGGCAGTGCTTGTGTCCCCAGGGCCTATCTAGCACATACATAAGGTGCTCAGGAATTATTTGTTCAGTGAATGAATAAACCGTACTGCCAAAAGTAGAGGGGGCAGAATGAGAGATCTGTGAGTAAATATGATAACGACATGAATAAATAAAAAACTGAATTTAACACAGTAACAACAAAGACACACTATTCCTAATTGCTTCTTTTTTAAATATAAGTATTATTTTTCAAATTATTATTAGTAAGAGAAACAAGGCAAATACAAACAAATTATTTTTAAATCATTTTTTAAATGAAGGCAATAAATGAAACACATAAGAGTCTAAAATTTCTTAATGTACAGGAGAGTTATTGTAATGATTTTCTAGAAGTTGGCTCCACCTAGAATTAAAACCTTAGTATATATACTTACTTGGAAACAGACAAAAATGAAATAAAAAGAATTTTAAATATACTTTTATAATACTACTGTAATATTAGCAATGACAATTACTCATTTTCATCATGCTTTTTAATCTACAAATATCTGCTGCATATAGTATTTCATTGCTCATTAGAAGGTAATCAACATTTCAGCCACCACTGAAACACATACATATGTGCAGGCACACATACATACTAATGCACACTTTCTAAATCATTTCTGCAGCTATCCCCTTTGCAGTGGCCTTGATAAAAGCTGACTGTGGCATTTTATTAAATGCAGCCCTCATTAAGACTTGGCATTATTTGAAGCTACTATCAGATGATGCTGAGCTCAGTAAGGGCACCTGTTCTTAGAACTTCTATCTTCATCACACAGCAAGTCCCAGTCTTTTTTTTTTTTTTTTTTTTTGAAGCTGAGACTAAAAGCAAACCTACTTTCATACTTTCATTGCTATGTGAAACGAATTTTCATGCCTTCATTTTCTTTCTTTGTGCCACGTAGTAAGTAGATAAAAACAATTCCCTGTTTTCAACTCTAACACCTCTGAAATTAAGCCCTGGGGAAGCTAGAGGTAACTCTGAGGTGGTAACTTCTCTCTAAGTTATTGGGAAAAATAACTCTATGAACCATCTAGGAACAAACACCTGGCTATTATCACACACACGCATATTAAATGGCTGCTGGAACACAGTGAAGAGGTGGGGCATAGTGTCAGGAAATGTTCTGTTTCAGCTCTTACAAATAGGACACACTCAGTTCTATAAATGAATGACTTATGTGTAATATCATTAAAACAAAAAAGTAATAATCATTTACCGGATACTAAGTTTGCTGTATAACAACTCATTAAACCCTAACAACAATCTATCAGACATTATTAACCTCCAAATCCCATTTCTACACACACACAAAAAATTGAGGGACCTATGAATTAAGCAACTTATCCAAGGCCATGCAGCTGGAAAATAAGAAAGGCAAGATTTCAACCCAGATCATTTCTCTTACATTGTTCTTTCTAGTTTCTCAGTTTCATAGGAGAGAGATACAGCATGTCAGGTTGGTGTGAAGACATGAGCATGTGAGTATATATAACAACAGGCAGAAAAATTAGAACTTAAAGCCAGGAATATCTGGACCCAAAATTTAACCTCCATGGCCAAGAAAACAATTTCATTTACAATACAATATGTCTTGCTAGACTGAATAAACCTTTAAACATATTCTTTTTTTTTGGATAATCACAATTTTTCTCTAAGTTTGACCGAGGAACAAATTTATTCTAAAGAAATGGTAAAACTGAGAAATGAATCAATATGCTGTTGTTCTGATCTGTTAACTCCCTGGTTGTGCTGTATTTCTTAGCAAATCTCAATGAAGCCGACTTATCCTTAATCTTAACACTCCATCTCTGTTACATATATTAACTCTTACGGTTCACTGCAGAATTACTGAGGAATTGGTTGGCTTAAAATTCATTAACGGTGCCCTGAAGGTATGAAAGAGTTAATACATTTCCGGACATATTTACTGTTATTAGCAAAGGTTATGCGACCTAAAAATTATTACCTAGGGTATCTGGAATTTAGCTTTTTCAAGTGAAAAAAAGTTCAATGACTTTCAGAGAGCTTATGAAACTAAGGACAAACAATTCTCAGTATTTTAGGAAATCCCCAAGGTTTCTTACAAATGACTCTTCCTAAAGTGATGTCAAAAATAGTACTTATTACACTTTGGGCTTCTACTCCAATTTAGCTAGTCTTTCCTATGGTTGAGTGAGGAATAAAATGACACCTTTTCTTCTTAAGGATATTAGAGCTTCCTATGGCTCCTCGCACCAAGATAATAGATTATCCTATCATTAATCTATTGAGATAATAGATTATCCTATTATGCTTTCTCCACAGTAATATACTTGGTTTTAAATCTTTGCAGTTCAGTTCATCAAACTCTGTTAATTAACATTTTACAGTTAATTTTCTGATATATTTAATGAGTTAATTCTTAAGACTAGAGAAAAAAAAATCAGCTTCTAAAGCTCTTATTCAAAGAAAATGCAGTTGGTAAGGCAATCTATTCTAGTTTCTGAATGTGTAATTTTACCCAACACCCCAAAACTATTAATGGGATGAAATCAATGGTGCAGGTGAACAGGTATCTTTTCAATGAAAGGAAACAAAATAAATATGCCTGTGAAAGGAGATTAATATTAGGAAAATATGAAGAGAGAGAAAATGTCTTATAGCAAAATTATCTCAATTTTTTAAAGAAGTTCAATTCTAAAGAATAATGTGATTATATGGGTAGAAGGCTTGAAAAGTAAAGGTTTTAAGTAGACAATCAAAGGAACAGAAAAGGAAACTGGGTAAATTCAAATACATTATTAAATCCAATTTGAGGGCCGAATTTCTACTTATACTTTCAAGGCCCAACTAAGATGTCACATCCTCCTGAATTAGCTACTAGGGAAATTGCCCACCAACAATAAATAACTGGAAAATAAGGAAAAACACATATGATTCAACAATTTTCAGTCATCTGATGTCTGTATGATCCATGAGGGAAGGGAAATAAATAAAGTGAGCTCCACTATTGCTCTAGCTTACTGACTGGAGGCAGTTTTCAGGAAAGAGAAAGAACTATGGGACCCAAACAGGGTCTAGTTTCTCCAATGCATTGAGAAATCAGAAATTGGAGTTTATGATAGCCATGGCAGGGAAAATTTGTGGGCAGAATACCAGGGTCAAAGGATAAGAATAAGTATCATGAAGAGACAGAGAATGCAAGTGTGAGTTATGTAATCAGTTTCTGATTATGACCCATAATTAGGAAAAAAAATCAATTAATACAGAAATGACAGAGATAATAAAATAGACAAGTAAGAATGTTTAAGAAGTGAATTTTTAAAATGTGCTTTATGTATGTAAAAAAATGTGTAGAAAAACATAAACAAGATGAAGAGTATGATGAGAGAAATGGAAGATTTTTAATGAATGAAATGAAAGATAAAAAAGAATATCTAAAATGAAAAATACAGAACATGGGATCAACCACAGATGAAGATGCTGCAGAAGAAAACCAGTGAACTCAAAGAAATAGTGATGGAAACTGTTTAAAACACAGAGATTTCAAAAGATTGGAACAAAATGAATAGACAGCCAATGATATGCTGAATGATACCAAGTGGATTCCTAGAAAGTGGGAAGGAAAAGAAACATTATTTAAAGAAATAATGACCAATAATTTTCCACATTTGATAACTATAAATCCACAGATCTAAGAAGCTCAAACACCCCAGGCAGAATATACATAAAGAAAATCATACATTATGGTCAAATTGCTGAAAACCAAAGATGGAGTGAAAAACGTCAAAAGCAGCCAGAAAAGGAAAAGCTTACTTTCGATACAGAAGAACAAAGGATGACAGCAACTCCTCCTCATAAATAACTATTCAGATCATATGGCAGTAGATGATGTCACATCTTTAAAGTATTAAAAGAGAAGGACTGTCAATGTAGAATTCTATACTCTGCAAACATATCATTTAAAAATGACAAAAGCTTATAATGTTCATTGCCAGCAAATCTGTACTACAATAAATATCAAAGGAAGATTTGTGGGCAAAGAAAAATAACAATAGAGGAAATGTATATCTATACATGGAATTTGCAGTTGCAACAAATAAATGAAGAACATTAGAAATGATCAATGTCCAGGTACTTAATTTTTGTCTCATTTTTAATCCCTTTAAAATATCAATGATTTAAAGCAAAAATGATAATAATCTATTATATCACCTACATAGATAAAATTATGCATAAGAGGCATGTGCAGAGTTAAAAGGATATTATTTCCCCTTTTAGGTGAGAGCTGTGCGAAGCAAGGATCCCAGACACTGTTTCTAGTTTTCATCACATAGACAGACCAGCCCTTCTGCAAAGATGGTCAATGTACCTAAAACCTCAAGAACCTTCTGTAAGAAGTGTGGCAAGCATCAGCCTCACAAAGTGACACAATATAAGAAGTGGAAGGATTCATTGTATGCCCAGGGAAAGAGGTGCTATGATCAGAAGCAGAGTGGCTATGGTGGGCAGACGAAGTCAATTTTCCGGAAGAAGGCTAAGACCACAAAGAAGACTGTGCTTAGTCTGGAATGTGTTGAGCCTAACTGCAGATGCAATAGGATGCTGGTCATTAAGAGATGCAGGCATTTTGAGCTGGGAGGAGATAAGAAGAGAAAAGGCCACGTGATCCAGTTCTAAACTTTGGGATATTTTTCTTTTAATTTTGAAAAGAAAATGTTAAAGCCATAGAAAAATTACCTGTAGGAAAATAAATACAGTGTTATTTTTATGCAAAAAAGTATAGTATTGTGAGTTTCTAGTATTATATGTGAAGTGGTATAATATTATTTAAAGATAGACTCTGATAAATTGTATAAACCCTAAAGAAAGCACATAAAAGAAGAAGAAATATAGGTAATAAGCCAACAGTTGATCTAAAATGGAATTGTAAGAAGGCTCAACTCAAAAGGTATCAAGGAAAATGGGAGAAAAGAACAGAGGTTAGCAGTAAAAAGCAAGTAGCAAGACAATACATTTAAATTTTAGCACATTAATAATTTTATCAAATAAAAGTAGTCTAAACTCTTCAATTAAAAGGTGGAGATCGATGGATTGAATAAAAAAGCAAGACCTACTAGAAACTAAACTTAAATATAAAGACACAGTATAAACAACACATCAGTTGAAATTCTGTAAGAATATAGGCTCTATCTAATTCAACATGTATTTCTCATGTCCAATTCAGTACTAGCACTCAGAATCTACTAAAAATTATTCCTTGAAAGAGCAAATGCCTTCAAAAAGCAGTCTAAGGAGAAAGTCAAATTGTCTGTATTTGCAGACAACATATAATACACTTAGAAGTATATTATATGTATAAATAGAAGTATATAATATATTTCTAAACATGATAATATATTTAGAAGACTCCATTGTCTCAGCCCCAAATCTCCTGAAACTGATAAGCAACTTCAGCAGTCTCAGGATACAAAATCAATGTGCAAAAATCACAAGCATTCCTATACACCAATAACAGACTTAAAGAGAGCCAAATTAAGAATGAACTGCCATTCACAATTGCTACAAAGTGAATAAAATACCTAGGAATACAACTAACAAGGAACGTAAAGGACCTCTTCAAGGAGAAACTACAAACCACTGCTCAACAAAATAAGAGAGGCCAAAAACAGATAGAGAAGCATTCCATGCTCATGGTTAGGAAGAATCAATATTGTGAAAATGACCATACTGCCCAAAGTAATTTACAGATTCAATGCTATCCCCATCAAGCTACCAATGACCTTCACAGAACTGGAAAAGAACACCTTAAACTTCATATAGAACCAAACGAGAGCCCACATAGCCAAGTCAATTCTAAGCAAAAAGAACAAAGCTGGAGGCATCACACTACCAGACTTCAAACTATACTACAAGGCTACAGTAATCAAAACAACGTGGTACTGGTACCAAAACAGAGATATAGAACAATGGAACAGAACAGAGGCTTCAAAGGCAATGCCACACATCTACAACCATCTGATATTTGATAAACCTGACAAAAACAAGCAATGGGGAAACGATTCCCTGTTTAACAAATGGTGTTGGGAAAACTGGCAAGCCATGTGCAGAAAGCAGAAACTGGACCCCTTCCTGACACCTTACACCAAAATTAACTCCAGATGGATTAAAGACTTAAATATAAGACTTAACACCATAAAAACCCTAGAAGAAAACCTAAGCAAAACCATTCAGGACATAGGCATAAGCAAGGACTTCATGACTAAAACACCAAAAGCATTGGCAACAAAAGCTGAAATAGACAGATGGGACCTAATCAAACTCCACAGCTTCTGCACAGCAAAAGAAACAGCATTAGAGTGAATCAGCAACCAATAAAATGGGAAAAAATTTTTGGAATCTATCCATCTGACAAAGGGCTAATATACAAAATCTACAAAGAAGTAAAACAGATTTGCAAGAAAACAACAAACAAGCCCATTCAAAAGTTGGCAAAGGATAGGGCAGACACTTTACAAACGAAGACATATATGAGGACAACAAACATGAAAAAATGCTCATCACTGGTCATTAGAGAAATGCAAATTAAAACTACACTGAGATACCACTTCACACCAGTCAGAATGGTGATCATTAAAAAATCTGGAGACAACAGATGCTGGAGAGGATGTGGAGAAATAGGAACACTTTCACACTATTGATGGAAGTGTAAATTAGTTCAACCATTGTGGAAGACAGTGTGGTGATTCCTCAAGGACCTAGAAATTCCATTTGAGGCCGGGCGCGGGGGCTCAAGCCTGTAATCCCAGCACTTTGGGAGGCCGAGGTGGGTGGATCACAAGGTCAGAGATCGAGACCATCCTGGTCAACATGGTGAAACCCCGTCTCTACTAAAAATACAAAAAAGTAGCTGGGCATGGTGGCATATGCCTGTAATCCAAGCTACTCAGGAGGCTGAGGCAGGAGAATTGCCTGAACCCAGGAGGTGGAGGTTGCGGTGAGCTGAGATTGCGCCATTGTACTCCAGCCTGGGTAACAAGAGCGAAACTCCGTCTCAAAAAAAAAAAAAAAAAAAAAGAAATTCCATTTGAACCAGCAATCCCATTACTGGGTATATATCCAAAGGATTGTAAATTATTCTGCTATAAGGACACATGCACACAAATGTTCACTGCGGCACTGTTTACAATAGCAAAGACTTGGAAACAACCCAAATGCCCACTGATGATAGACTGGACAGGGAAAATGTGGCACATATACACCATGGAATACTATGCAGCTATAAAAAACTATGAGATCGTGTCGTTTATAGGGACATGCATGAACCTGGAAACCATCATTCTCAGCAAAGTGACACAAGAACAGAAAATCAAACACTGCATGTTCTCACTCATAGGTGGGAGTTGAATAATGACAACACACGGACACAGGGAGGGGAGCAACACATACTCTGGGGTCTGTTGGGGGGAAATATGGAAGGGACAGCAGTGGGTGGGGAGTTAGGGAGGGATAAACAGGGGGAGAAATGCCAGATATAGGTGATGGGGAGGAAGGTAGCAAAGCACACTGCCATGTGTGTACCTATGCAACAATCTTACATGTTCTTCACATGTACCGCAAAACCTAAAATGCAATAAAAAAATAAATAAAAATAAAAATAAAGCAGTCTAAGGATAACTCTAAGAAATCCCGGTGAAATAATGACTTCCTACAAATTAGTAGGTTCATAAGAAAAGTTTTTATGACAGCCACTTTTTTAAAAATCAGGATTTTAATTAGAAGACTTCACATGTCTTGCAGGTGTTTATTTTATGGATAATTTATCTCCCTCACCTGAAAACCAGAATTCAAATAATCTTCTAAGTTGAGGATCAGCAGTGTTTTTTCAATAGAGGACAAAATAGTAAATATTTCAGGCTTTACTGGCCATATGATTTTTGTGGTAACTACTCAACTCTGCCACTGTAGCATGAAAGGAGCCAGAGACGATATAGAAATGAATGGCATGGCTGTGTACCAATGAAACTTTATTTACAAAACCAGCATTGGGGCAGACTTGGTCCATGAACTACAGTTGTCACATCCCAGTCAAGCAGGGTAATTGTTTGAAGTTTCTATGGCTGTGCTAGGGTTTTAATGTCTGTTCCCTCTGAAATTCATATTAAAATTTAGTCCCTAATGTAACAATAATAAGAGCTGAGGCCTTTAAGAGATTATTGGGTCACACATAGATTAATGGATTATGGGTTAATGAATTAATGGGTTATCATGGGAATTGATTATTTATCACAATAAAAGTCTGTTAAAAACTGAGTTTGGCTCTCAGGGTACCCCTCTTGCCCTGTGATGCCTTCTCCTATGCAATGACACAGCAAGTTGACCTCATCAGAAACTAACCAGATGCAGCAACCTGATTCTGGACTTCTCAGCCTCCAGAACTGTGACCAATTTATTTTCTTTATAAATTACCCAGTCTCAGATATTCAGTTACAGCAAGAGAAAATGGATTAAGACATTATGTTATCCATTCCTTAAATGATACATTTATCACTACTCGAGAAAGCTTTGATCAGAGCTAGTAATAGATGCACACATCTCTTTATTTATACTTACCCTGTACCTACATTTTCTGATTAATGCAAGTAGAAAAGATCTCAGATACTGACAGGTAATTTTCTTTCTGTACCCAAGATCTCCAATGCTGTTTTGTGCTTTTACTGTATTTCCAGTCTATGCAGCTAGTGACTTGGAAAACAATTCTAAACTATAAAAATGCCTAATGTTACCACTATCAGCTCTTATCATTTTTCAACGGGACAGAAGGTTTGGTCAATTGTATTGATGTACAACACATAATATATGTTGTTTTAATCTGCTCAATCTACTTTTTAAAAATATTTTATTTTAGCTTTTTTCCAGCATATCACAACTTTCTATCTCGCAGTCTTATAATTCTCTCATCTTTGTAAAATTACTAATAAAAAACATGTCTTCTACATTTGCTTATTCTTCATGGATTTCTCTGTAAACATTCTTCCAAGACAAGGATTTGAGGTTTCAAGATAAATGGTCACTAAAAATAGATTATGCTCAAACCATCTACTATAAGTAAACATGTCTTCTATTTAAAGCAAATTGCTCATTCAGAGAAAATGGTACAATTCATAAAGGAAAATCACGTATTTGGTGTTAACATGTGGTCTAAGTTAGATATTAGGATTTCAGGCTTTAGATGCATCCTGGTGGTATTTATTAGTGGCAATGTGACACTAGGTGAGTTATTTAGTTATTATTTTTCTGTCTTATTATCTATTAAATGTGCAAACAAGGTATACCTCATTAAAGATGTGAGATTAAATGAGATAACATATGAAAAGCTTAATAGCTGCTTTATAGTAAGTACTCAATAAATATTGTGTTATTTTTTTAATTGTATGTGTTTGAAATGCAATAAATATTCAGCAAGTAAGAGATATAAAAAGCGCATTTGTCTATAATCTATAACTAGTATCATACCAATTATTTTTATTCCCGGAGTCCAATATACTGCATAACTACTAGCTACTCGAAATATTGTTTTTTGAAATTGAAGTTCATTACTTCTCCACATGAGGCATTTTATTCACAATGTAATGGCTTTGCCTTGTTAAATCATGTATCCCTTCCATTAGCCAAGAGGA